AGTATCTAGAATTCTAGATGGTTTGTGCATACAATGTAATTTTAGACCTTATTTGAAGTAGCAGTTCTAAAGGGTTTTTTTGGAGGGGGGGGGGGGGGGTTCTGGGCAACTGAAGCTCCACCCCCTTAAAAAAAACCTTCAAGCCTTCAAATATTTCGCGAGGCCAATGTAGAAAATCAATACAAGAGCCCTAAGCCCCCGATGAGCTACGACCCCAAAAGATAATAGCTTCTATCTACTCTTCTAGCTCGGACCTCTATTTCAAAACCATCCCTGTAACTTGCTCCCAAGTAAACGAATAACTCGATTTGTTTTTCTTCCTTTGTATAGTGACTGAGCTACCAGTGAATTGCCCAGACCTGAGCAGAACGGTCGCCACTGACATAGGACTGCCCACATATTCTTACACCCCTTCCATAGAGGCCAGTGACGTCACAAAGTCCACTTCCGGGTACAGATACCACGGAGGTGCAGTTTCTGTGGATCCTACAATGGCCATTGGTAGCAAGCTAGATGTCGGTACCCATCCAGACACAGTCTTGATTTCGGATGAGGTGCTGAGTAAGACGTGCATAGGGTTTATTGTTGTACAGGGTAGGTTGTTTGAACTAAGAAAATGTCTGACTTATCTTAATGATAATCATCATAATGACAATACATTGGCGGATCTACGGGGGGGGGGGGGTAATAAAAATGTGATGTGCATAGAAACACGTATAGATGCCAGGAAAACATCACTTACGTGGGTTCAAAATAGCACCCCAAAAATTTCGCTTTGCCGCATCGTCAATGGGTCAAATCCCCCTTAGCAAAAAGCTAGATCCGCCCTGTAATATAATGGTTATGATGGTCATAACAATAAATTATACTCACTTCAATGTTATTTCTATCATTAATATATTTACCATCATTGTTTTAAACAATTTTGATTGTGATTACGATTACGATTATCATTATTATTGTTATCGTTATTTCGCTATTATTGTTATTATTGTGGTCATTATTGGTGTCATGAGTGTTGCTTTTGTTTGCTATATTATAACTATATTCATGATACAATTATTAATGGTAATATCTTATCGCTTTTTGTCTCATTTTTATCATCATTTGTTATTGTATTTATTAATTAATATAGTAGTAGTAGTAGTAGTAGTAGTAGTAGTAGTAGTATAGTAGTAGAAGTATAATTGTTATTTTCAACAACCTCATCATTGGTAATATGATTATGATCCATACCATCATTTTGAATTAAATTCTTGTGATTGTTACATTAGTTAGTAGTAGTACCATCGCGATGATTATTTATGTGTAATATCATATCTCCTTTCTGTACTTATTTGAAGTTCAATTAAATATCATGTGTCATTTATTTTTAAAAAAACGCTGTGATAAAGTTGTGTATTATGTGGAGTCTACTATAAATGCCAGTTATATTTTTATGATTATTATCATGTCCAGTGACCTTGCAGGATGGTCTAATCCCTCCTATAAAACATTACATAAATTATAAGCTTTAATTGTTCGCAGTTGCTCAATATATGTATAGCAAATATATATCCAGTCAATGTACATGTTATTGTACATGTTACATGTTATATTAATACTTATAGCTTTTGATTTTTTCTCTCAGGAACAACTCCAGGAACAACACCAGGAACCACTCCGGCTACAACACCTGCAACAACACCTGGAACATCTCCAGGAACGACACCCGGAACAACACCTGGAACAACACCTGTGACAACGCCAGCTACAACATCTGGAAGAACACCTAGAACAACACCAGGCACAACACCAGGTTAGGTCAAGTTTTGTTTGGGTTTTAATGTTAGATAAACTACTGTACTATCAAGGAGTTGGGTTCTCTGAATGTCATTTCCAATGCCAAACAGCAACTGATAATCAAGTAAACTAAGCACACAAATCTTGAATATATTTATATATATCATATCTCCTTTCTGTACTTATTTGAAGTTCAATTAAATATCATGTGTCATTTATTTAAAAAAAACGCTGTGATAAAGTTGTGTATTATGTGGAGTCTACTATGAATGCCAGTTATATTTTTATGATTATTATCATGTCCAGTGACCTTGCAGGATGGTCTAATCCCTCCTATAAAACATTACATAAATTATAAGCTTTAATTGTTCGCAGTTGCTCAATATATGTATAGCAAATATATATCCAGTCAATATACATGTTATTGTTAGGACACAAATAAAGGCATTATTATGCCCCCGGAAAATTCATTATTAATTTTTGTTCTTCTCAATTCGAATTCAGACACCACTCCACCGAATGTGACGTGTGATGACGTCACAACGAGGCCCTTTTTACCGAACAGTTTTCTTGGACTGAATGTGGGTGTTTCGTACACGTACGAGGATTCAAATCCTGATCCCAGTGGGATTACTTATAACGTAACCAAAGGAGCAGACGGAGATTTGTTCCCGCCCGGACAAACCCCAGTGACGATGTACGCGGTCGACCTACATGGCAACAGAGCGACATGTCTTTTCTACGTGGAAAATACGCGTAAGTATCTAGAATTCTAGATGGTTTGTGCATACAATGTAATTTTAGACCTTATTTGAAGTAGCAGTTCTAAAGGGTTTTTGGAGGGGGGGGGGGGGGGGTTCTGGGCAACTGAAGCTCCACCCCCTTAAAAAAAACCTTCAAGCCTTCAAATATTTCGCGAGGCCAATGTAGAAAATCAATACAAGAGCCCTAAGCCCCCGATGAGCTACGACCCCAAAAGATAATAGCTTCTATCTACTCTTCTAGCTCGGACCTCTATTTCAAAACCATCCCTGTAACTTGCTCCCAAGTAAACGAATAACTCGATTTGTTTTTCTTCCTTTGTATAGTGACTGAGCTACCAGTGAATTGCCCAGACCTGAGCAGAACGGTCGCCACTGACATAGGACTGCCCACATATTCTTACACCCCTTCCATAGAGGCCAGTGACGTCACAAAGTCCACTTCCGGGTACAGATACCACGGAGGTGCAGTTTCTGTGGATCCTACAATGGCCATTGGTAGCAAGCTAGATGTCGGTACCCATCCAGACACAGTCTTGATTTCGGATGAGGTGCTGAGTAAGACGTGCATAGGGTTTATTGTTGTACAGGGTAGGTTGTTTGAACTAAGAAAATGTCTGACTTATCTTAATGATAATCATCATAATGACAATACATTGGCGGATCTACGGGGGGGGGGGGGGGTAATAAAAATGTGATGTGCATAGAAACACGTATAGATGCCAGGAAAACATCACTTACGTGGGTTCAAAATAGCACCCCAAAAATTTCGCTTTGCCGCATCGTCAATGGGTCAAATCCCCCTTAGCAAAAAGCTAGATCCGCCCCTGTAATATAATGGTTATGATGGTCATAACAATAAATTATACTCACTTCAATGTTATTTCTATCATTAATATATTTACCATCATTGTTTTAAACAATTTTGATTGTGATTACGATTACGATTATCATTATTATTGTTATCGTTATTTCGCTATTATTGTTATTATTGTGGTCATTATTGGTGTCATGAGTGTTGCTTTTGTTTGCTATATTATAACTATATTCATGATACAATTATTAATGGTAATATCTTATCGCTTTTTGTCTCATTTTTATCATCATTTGTTATTGTATTTATTAATTAATAGTAGTAGTAGTAGTAGTAGTATAGTAGTAGAAGTATAATTGTTATTTTCAACAACCTCATCATTGGTAATATGATTATGATCCATACCATCATTTTGAATTAAATTCTTGTGATTGTTACATTAGTTAGTAGTAGTACCATCGCGATGATTATTTATGTGTAATATCATATCTCCTTTCTGTACTTATTTGAAGTTCAATTAAATATCATGTGTCATTTATTTTAAAAAAAACGCTGTGATAAAGTTGTGTATTATGTGGAGTCTACTATAAATGCCAGTTATATTTTTATGATTATTATCATGTCCAGTGACCTTGCAGGATGGTCTAATCCCTCCTATAAAACATTACATAAATTATAAGCTTTAATTGTTCGCAGTTGCTCAATATATGTATAGCAAATATATATCCAGTCAATGTACATGTTATTGTACATGTTACATGTTATATTAATACTTATAGCTTTTGATTTTTTCTCTCAGGAACAACTCCAGGAACAACACCAGGAACCACTCCGGCTACAACACCTGCAACAACACCTGGAACATCTCCAGGAACGACACCCGGAACAACACCTGGAACAACACCTGTGACAACGCCAGCTACAACATCTGGAAGAACACCTAGAACAACACCAGGCACAACACCAGGTTAGGTCAAGTTTTGTTTGGGTTTTAATGTTAGATAAACTACTGTACTATCAAGGAGTTGGGTTCTCTGAATGTCATTTCCAATGCCAAACAGCAACTGATAATCAAGTAAACTAAGCACACAAATCTTGAATATATTTATATATATCATATCTCCTTTCTGTACTTATTTGAAGTTCAATTAAATATCATGTGTCATTTATTTAAAAAAAACGCTGTGATAAAGTTGTGTATTATGTGGAGTCTACTATGAATGCCAGTTATATTTTTATGATTATTATCATGTCCAGTGACCTTGCAGGATGGTCTAATCCCTCCTATAAAACATTACATAAATTATAAGCTTTAATTGTTCGCAGTTGCTCAATATATGTATAGCAAATATATATCCAGTCAATATACATGTTATTGTTAGGACACAAATAAAGGCATTATTATGCCCCCGGAAAATTCATTATTATTTTTGTTCTTCTCAATTCGAATTCAGACACCACTCCACCGAATGTGACGTGTGATGACGTCACAACGAGGCCCTTTTTACCGAACAGTTTCTTGGACTGAATGTGGGTGTTTCGTACACGTACGAGGATTCAAATCCTGATCCCAGTGGGATTACTTATAACGTAACCAAAGGAGCAGACGGAGATTTGTTCCCGCCCGGACAAACCCAGTGACGATGTACGCGGTCGACCTACATGGCAACAGAGCGACATGTCTTTTCTACGTGGAAAATACGCGTAAGTATCTAGAATTCTAGATGGTTTGTGCATACAATGTAATTTTAGACCTTATTTGAAGTAGCAGTTCTAAAGGGTTTTTTGGGGGGGGGGGGGGGGTTCTGGGCAACTGAAGCTCCACCCCCTTAAAAAAAACCTTCAAGCCTTCAAATATTTCGCGAGGCCAATGTAGAAAATCAATACAAGAGCCCTAAGCCCCCGATGAGCTACGACCCCAAAAGATAATAGCTTCTATCTACTCTTCTAGCTCGGACCTCTATTTCAAAACCATCCCTGTAACTTGCTCCCAAGTAAACGAATAACTCGATTTGTTTTTCTTCCTTTGTATAGTGACTGAGCTACCAGTGAATTGCCCAGACCTGAGCAGAACGGTCGCCACTGACATAGGACTGCCCACATATTCTTACACCCCTTCCATAGAGGCCAGTGACGTCACAAAGTCCACTTCCGGGTACAGATACCACGGAGGTGCAGTTTCTGTGGATCCTACAATGGCCATTGGTAGCAAGCTAGATGTCGGTACCCATCCAGACACAGTCTTGATTTCGGATGAGGTGCTGAGTAAGACGTGCATAGGGTTTATTGTTGTACAGGGTAGGTTGTTTGAACTAAGAAAATGTCTGACTTATCTTAATGATAATCATCATAATGACAATACATTGGCGGATCTACGGGGGGGGGGGGGGGGTAATAAAAATGTGATGTGCATAGAAACACGTATAGATGCCAGGAAAACATCACTTACGTGGGTTCAAAATAGCACCCAAAAAATTTCGCTTTGCCGCATCGTCAATGGGTCAAATCCCCCTTAGCAAAAAGCTAGATCCGCCCCTGTAATATAATGGTTATGATGGTCATAACAATAAATTATACTCACTTCAATGTTATTTCTATCATTAATATATTTACCATCATTGTTTTAAACAATTTTGATTGTGATTACGATTACGATTATCATTATTATTGTTATCGTTATTTCGCTATTATTGTTATTATTGTGGTCATTATTGGTGTCATGAGTGTTGCTTTTGTTTGCTATATTATAACTATATTCATGATACAATTATTAATGGTAATATCTTATCGCTTTTTGTCTCATTTTTATCATCATTTGTTATTGTATTTATTAATTAATAGTAGTAGTAGTAGTAGTAGTAGTAGTATAGTAGTAGAAGTATAATTGTTATTTTCAACAACCTCATCATTGGTAATATGATTATGATCCATACCATCATTTTGAATTAAATTCTTGTGATTGTTACATTAGTTAGTAGTAGTACCATCGCGATGATTATTTATGTGTAATATCATATCTCCTTTCTGTACTTATTTGAAGTTCAATTAAATATCATGTGTCATTTATTTTTAAAAAAACGCTGTGATAAAGTTGTGTATTATGTGGAGTCTACTATAAATGCCAGTTATATTTTTATGATTATTATCATGTCCAGTGACCTTGCAGGATGGTCTAATCCCTCCTATAAAACATTACATAAATTATAAGCTTTAATTGTTCGCAGTTGCTCAATATATGTATAGCAAATATATATCCAGTCAATGTACATGTTATTGTACATGTTACATGTTATATTAATACTTATAGCTTTTGATTTTTTCTCTCAGGAACAACTCCAGGAACAACACCAGGAACCACTCCGGCTACAACACCTGCAACAACACCTGGAACATCTCCAGGAACGACACCCGGAACAACACCTGGAACAACACCTGTGACAACGCCAGCTACAACATCTGGAAGAACACCTAGAACAACACCAGGCACAACACCAGGTTAGGTCAAGTTTTGTTTGGGTTTTAATGTTAGATAAACTACTGTACTATCAAGGAGTTGGGTTCTCTGAATGTCATTTCCAATGCCAAACAGCAACTGATAATCAAGTAAACTAAGCACACAAATCTTGAATATATTTATATATATCATATCTCCTTTCTGTACTTATTTGAAGTTCAATTAAATATCATGTGTCATTTATTTAAAAAAAACGCTGTGATAAAGTTGTGTATTATGTGGAGTCTACTATGAATGCCAGTTATATTTTTATGATTATTATCATGTCCAGTGACCTTGCAGGATGGTCTAATCCCTCCTATAAAACATTACATAAATTATAAGCTTTAATTGTTCGCAGTTGCTCAATATATGTATCACTCATAATTTCATATTGATGTGAAAAAATTAGTAAAATTCCTGAGTACAATTACACTGGAGGTATATTTATATGTAGTTTTTTTTGTGTGCAATAAACACGGGAAATGTCAAAATAAAGTGAAATTAAACAAACGAAAACGAGAGGTTTCCAGATATTGGCAATGTTGAATATCTCATCGTAAGCTAATTGTTGTTCAGAACTTTTAGATTCGTATAAATGGTAAAAAACGATAAGTTCCCCTTTCTTCCTTTTTGTTAATAAAACAGGCATTTAGGGCTCGAATTCGACTGCAACTTCTTGATTTAGCTGAGTATTTAATTCTAAATATATATATTCTCTTTTTTTCTGTTTTTTGTTTTGTTGTTGCAACAGTCGCGCGCCACTCCGACTAACCGCAAGCGCCACAAGTGGCGCGCGCGCCGCCAGTTGAGAAGGCCTGGTCTAATCCCTCCTATAAAACAATTGTTCGCAGTTGCTCAATATATGTATAGCAAATATATATCCAGTCAATTTACATGTTATTGTACATGTTACATGTTATATTAATACTTATAGCTTTTGATTTTTTCTCTCAGGAACAACTCCAGGAACAACACCAGGAACCACTCAGGCTACAACACCTGCAACAACACCTGGAACATCGCCAGGAACGACACCCGGAACAACACCTGGAACAACACCTGTGACAACGCCAGCTACAACATCTGGAAGAACACCTAGAACAATACCAGGCACAACACCAGGTTAGGTCAAGTTTTGTTTGGGTTTTAATGTTAGACAAACTACTGTACTATCAAGGAGTTGGGTTCTCTGAATGTCATTTCCAATGCCAAACAGCAACTGATAATCAAGTAAACTAAGCACACAAATCTTGAATATATTTAGTTCTTTATTAATACATATAACTTTTGATTCTTCCCCTCTGGAACAACTCCAGGAACAACACCAGAAACCACTTCGGCTACAACACCTGCAACAACACCTGCAACAACACCAGGAACGACACATGCAACAACACCTTTGACATCACCTGGAACAACACCAGGCACAACACCAGGTACTACACCAGTCACAACACCAGGTTAGGTCAAGTTTTGTTTGAGGTTTAAAGGTAGACAAACTACTCTACTTAAAAGGAGTTGGGTTCTCTGAATGTCATGTGGTTATTGCATCTGTAAGAAGATTAACCATTTATCACACCTAATATATGTCATTTCCAATGCCAAGCAGCACCTGATAATCAAGTAAACTAAGTACACAAATCTTGAATATGTTTAGTTCTATATTAATACATATAACTTTTGATCCTTTCCCTTGGAACAACTCCAGGAACAACACCTGGAACCACTCCAGCTACAACACCTGCAACAACGCCAGGAACAACAACCGAAACAACACCTGCAACAACACCAGGTTAGGTCAAGTTTTGTTTGAGGTTTAAAGGTAGACAAACTACTCTACTTAAAAGGAGTTGGGTTCTCTGAATGTCATGTGGTTATTGCATCTGTAAGAAGTTTAACATTTGTCACACCTAATATATGTCTTTTTCAATGTCAAACAGCACCAATCAAATAAACTAAGCGCACAAATCGTGAATATGTTTAGTTCTATATTAATACTTATAACTTTTGACTTTTTTCCTCAGGAACAAGTCCAGGAACAACACCAGGAACCACTCCGGCTACAACACCTGCAACAACACCTGGAACATCGCCAGGAACGACACCCGGAACAACACCTGGAACAACACCTTTGACAACGCCAGCTACAACATCTGGAAGAACACCTAGAACAACACCAGGCACAACACCAGGTTAGGTCAAGTTTTGTTTGGGGTTTAATGTTAGACAAACTACTGTACTATCAAGGAGTTGGGTTTCTCTGAATGTCATTTCCAATGCCAAACAGCAACTGATAATCAAGTAAACTAAGCACACAAATCTTGAATATATTTAGTTCTTTATTAATACATATAACTTTTGATTCTTCCCCTCAGGAACAACTCCAGGAAAAACAACACCAGAAACCACTCCGGCTACAACACCTGCAACAACACCTGCAACAACACCAGGAACGACACATGCAACAACACCTGTGACATCACCTGGAACAACACCTGTGACAACGCCAGCTACAACACCTGGAACAACACCTAGAACAACACCAGGCACAACACCAGGTTATGTCAGTTTTGTTTGGGGTTTTATGTTAGACACACTACTGTACTTTCAAGGAGTTGGGTTCTCTGAATGTCATTTCCAATGCCAAACAGCAACTGATAATCAAGTAAACTGAGCACACAAATCTTGAATATATTTAGTTCTTTATTAATACATATAACTTTTGATTCTTTCCCTCAGGAACAACTCCAGGAACAACACCAGAAACCACTCCGGCTACAACACCTGCAAAAACACCTGCAACAGCGCCAGGAACGACACCCGGAACAACACCTGGAACGACACCTTTGACAATGCCAGCTACAACACTTGGAACAATACCTGGAACAACACGAGGCTCAACATCAGGTTAGCTAGGTCAAGTTTTGTATACGGTTTAAAGTTAGACACACTACTGTACTGTCAAGGACTTGGGTTCTCTGAATGTCATGTGGTCATTGCCTCTGTAAGAATTTTAAACATGTGTCACACCTAATATATGTCATTTCCAATGCCAAACAGCAACTGATAATCAAGTAAACTAAGTACAAAAATCTTGAATATGTTTCTTTCTGTATTAATACATATTACTTTTGATTCTTTCCCTCGGGAACAACTCCAGGAAAAACCCCTGGAACCACTCCAGCTACAACACCTGCAACCACGCCAGGAACGACAACCGGAACAACACATGCAAAAACATCTGTGACAACACCTGGAACAACACCAGGCACAACACCAGGTACTACACGAGGCACAACACAAGGTTAGCTAGGTCAAGTTTTGTATAGGGTTTAAAGCTTATCTGCCATAGTTTACAGGAGGGATTAGAGCGCCCTGCAAGGTCACTTGACAGGTGGTTATCTCATCAACTCAGTTCTCAGTTAACATAAAGAAAAAGAGGATCATGGGGGACCAATGGTCACCGATTAGGCATTGTTCGTTATATAGAGGGCGAAAGTAGCTACTAGTAGTGCAGTGGGCCTTTGAAGTTAGACACACTACTGTACTTTCAAGCAGTTGGGTTCTCTGAATGTCATGTGGCCATTGCATCGGTAAGAAGTTTAAACATTTGTCACACCTTATATATGTCTTTTTCAATGTCAAACAGCAATAATCAAATAAACTAAGCGCACAAATCTCAAATATATGTAGTTCTATATTAAAACTTATAACTTTTGTTTTTGTCCCTCACGAACTACTCCAGGAACAACACGAGGAACCACTCCGGCTACAACATCTGCAATAAAACCTGCAACAACACCAGGAACGACACCCGGAACAACAACTGGAACAACACCTGTGACAACGCCAGCTACAACATCTGGAAGAACACCTAGAACAACACTAGGGACAACACCAGGTTAGGTCAAGTTTTGTTTGGGGTTTTAATGTTAGACAAACTACTGTACTATAAAGGAGTTGGGTTCTCTGAATGTCATTTTCAATGCCAAACAGCAACTGATAATCAAATAAACTAAGCACACACATCTTGAATATATTTAGATCTTTATTAATACATATAACTTTTGATTCTTCCCCTCAGGAACAACTCCAGGAACAACACCAGAAACCACTCCGGCTACAACACCTGCAACAACACCTGCAACAACACCAGGAACGACACATGCAACAACACCTGTGACATCACCTGGAACAACACCTGTGACAACGCCAGCTACAACACCTGGAACAACACCTAGAACAACACCAGGCACAACACCAGGTTAGGTCAAGTTTTGTTTGGGGTTTAATGTTAGACACACTACTGTACTTTCAAGGAGTTGGGTTCTCTGAATGTCATTTCCAATGCCAAACAGCAACTAATAATCAAGTAAACTAAGCACACAAATCTTGAATATTTTAAGTTCTTTATTAATACATATAACTTTTGATTCTTCCCCTCAGGAACAACTCCAGGAACAACACCAGAAACCACTCCGGCTACAACACCTGCAACAACACCTGCAACAACACCAGGAACGACACATGCAACAACACCTGTGACATCACCTGGAACAAAACCTGTGACAACGCCAGCTACAACACCTGGAACAACACCTAGAACAACACTAGGCACAACACCAGGTTAGGTCAAGTTTTGTTTGGGGTTTAATGTTAGACACACTACTGTACTTTTAAGGAGTTGGGTTTTCTGAATGTCATTTCCAATGCCAAACAGCAACTGATAATCAAGTAAACTAAGCACACAAATCTTGAATATATTTAGTTCTTTATTAATACATATAACTTTTGATTCTTTCCCTCAGGAACAACTCCAGGAACAACACCAGAAACCACTCCGGCTACAACACCTGCAACAACACCTAAAACAACACCAGGAACGACACCCGAAACAACTGGAACAACACCTGTGACAACGCCAGCTACAACATCTGGAAGAACACCTAGAACAACACCAGGCACAACACCAGGTTAGGTCAAGTTTTGTTTGGGGTTTAATGTTAGACACACTACTGTACTTTTAAGGAGTTGGGATTTCTGAATGTCATTTCCAATGCCAAACAGCAACTGATAATCAAATAAACTAAGCACACACATCTTGAATATATTTAGATCTTTATTAATACATATAACTTTTGATTCTTCCCCTCAGGAACAACTCCAGGAACAACACCAGAAACCACTCCGGCTACAACACCTGCAACAACACCTGCAACAACACCAGGAACGACACATGCAACAACACCTGTGACATCACCTGGAACAACACCTGTGACAACGCCAGCTACAACACCTGGAACAACACCTAGAACAACACCAGGCACAACACCAGGTTAGGTCAAGTTTTGTTTGGGGTTTAATGTTAGACACACTACTGTACTTTCAAGGAGTTGGGTTCTCTGAATGTCATTTCCAATGCCAAACAGCAACTAATAATCAAGTAAACTAAGCACACAAATCTTGAATATTTTAAGTTCTTTATTAATACATATAACTTTTGATTCTTCCCCTCAGGAACAACTCCAGGAACAACACCAGAAACCACTCCGGCTACAACACCTGCAACAACACCTGCAACAACACCAGGAACGACACATGCAACAACACCTGTGACATCACCTGGAACAAAACCTGTGACAACGCCAGCTACAACACCTGGAACAACACCTAGAACAACACTAGGCACAACACCAGGTTAGGTCAAGTTTTGTTTGGGGTTTAATGTTAGACACACTACTGTACTTTTAAGGAGTTGGGTTTTCTGAATGTCATTTCCAATGCCAAACAGCAACTGATAATCAAGTAAACTAAGCACACAAATCTTGAATATATTTAGTTCTTTATTAATACATATAACTTTTGATTCTTTCCCTCAGGAACAACTCCAGGAACAACACCAGAAACCACTCCGGCTACAACACCTGCAACAACACCTAAAACAACACCAGGAACGACACCCGGAACAACAACTGGAACAACACCTGTGACAACGCCAGCTACAACATCTGGAAGAACACCTAGAACAACACCAGGCACAACACCAGGTTAGGTCAAGTTTTGTTTGGGGTTTAATGTTAGACACACTACTGTACTTTTAAGGAGTTGGGTTTTCTGAATGTCATTTCCAATGCCAAACAGCAACTGATAATCAAATAAACTAAGCACACACATCTTGAATATATTTAGATCTTTATTAATACATATAACTTTTGATTCTTCCCCTCAGGAACAACTCCAGGAACAACACCAGAAACCACTCCGGCTACAACACCTGCAACAACACCTGCAACAACACCAGGAACGACACATGCAACAACACCTGTGACATCACCTGGAACAACACCTGTGACAACGCCAGCTACAACACCTGGAACAACACCTAGAACAACACCAGGCACAACACCAGGTTAGGTCAAGTTTTGTTTGGGGTTTAATGTTAGACACACTACTGTACTTTCAAGGAGTTGGGTTCTCTGAATGTCATTTCCAATGCCAAACAGCAACTAATAATCAAGTAAACTAAGCACACAAATCTTGAATATTTTAAGTTCTTTATTAATACATATAACTTTTGATTCTTCCCCTCAGGAACAACTCCAGGAACAACACCAGAAACCACTCCGGCTACAACACCTGCAACAACACCTGCAACAACACCAGGAACGACACATGCAACAACACCTGTGACATCACCTGGAACAAAACCTGTGACAACGCCAGCTACAACACCTGGAACAACACCTAGAACAACACTAGGCACAACACCAGGTTAGGTCAAGTTTTGTTTGGGGTTTAATGTTAGACACACTACTGTACTTTTAAGGAGTTGGGTTTTCTGAATGTCATTTCCAATGCCAAACAGCAACTGATAATCAAGTAAACTAAGCACACAAATCTTGAATATATTTAGTTCTTTATTAATACATATAACTTTTGATTCTTTCCCTCAGGAACAACTCCAGGAACAACACCAGAAACCACTCCGGCTACAACACCTGCAACAACACCTAAAACAACACCAGGAACGACACCCGGAACAACAACTGGAACAACACCTGTGACAACGCCAGCTACAACATCTGGAAGAACACCTAGAACAACACCAGGCACAACACCAGGTTAGGTCAAGTTTTGTTTGGGGTTTAATGTTAGACACACTACTGTACTTTTAAGGAGTTGGGTTTTCTGAATGTCATTTCCAATGCCAAACAGCAACTGATAATCAAGTAAACTAAGCACACAAATCTTGAATATATTTAGTTCTTTATTAATACATATAACTTTTGATTCTTTCCCTCAGGAACAACTCCAGGAACAACACCAGAAACCACTCCGGCTACAACACCTGCAACAACACCTAAAACAACACCAGGAACGACACCCGGAACAACAACTGGAACAACACCTGTGACAACGCCAGCTACAACATCTGGAAGAACACCTAGAACAACACCAGGCACAACACCAGGTTAGGTCAAGTTTTGTTTGGGGTTTAATGTTAGACACACTACTGTACTTTCAAGGAGTTGGGTTCTCTGAATGTCATTTCCAATGCCAAACAGCAACTGATAATCAAGTAAACTAAGCACACAAATCTTGAATATATTTAGTTCTTTATTAATACATATAACTTTTGATTCTTCCCCTCAGGAACAACTCCAGGAACAACACCAGAAACCACTCCGGCTACAACACCTGCAACAACACCTGCAATAACACCAGGAACGACACATGCAACAACACCTGTGACATCACCTGGAACAACACCTGTGACAACGCCAGCTACAACACCTGGAACAACACCTAGAACAACACCAGGCACAACACCAGGTTAGGTCAAGTTTTTTATTGGGGTTTAATGTTAAACACACTACTGTACTTTTAAGGAGTTGGGTTCTCTGAATGTCATTTCCAATGCCAAACAGCAACTGACAATCAAGTAAACTAAGCACACAAATCTTGAATATATTTAGTTCTTTATTAATACATATAACTTTTGATTCTTTCCCTCAGGAACAACTCCAGGAACAACACCAGAAACCACTCCGGCTACAACACCTGCAACAACACCTAAAACAACACCAGGAACGACACCCGGAACAACAACTGGAACAACACCTGTGACAACGCCAGCTACAACATCTGGAAGAACACCTAGAACAACACCAGGCACAACACCAGGTTAGGTCAAGTTTTGTTTGGGGTTTAATGTTAGACAAACTACTGTACTATAAAGGAGTCGGGTTCTCTGAATGTCATTTCCAATGCCAAACAGCAACTGATAATCAAGTAAACTAAGCACACAAATCTTGAATATATTTAGTTCTTTATTAATACATATAACTTTTGATTCTTCCCCTCAGGAACAACTCCAGGAACAACACCAGAAACCACTCCGGCTACAACACCTGTGACATCACCTGGAACAACACCTGTGACAACGCCAGCTACAACACCTGGAACAACACCTAGAACAACACCAGGCACAACACCAGGTTAGGTCAAGTTTTGTTTGGGGTTTAATGTTAGACACACTACTGTACTTTCAAGGAGTTGGGTTCTCTGAATGTCATTTCCAATGCCAAACAGCAACTGATAATCAAGTAAACTAAGCACACAAATCTTGAATATATTTAGTTCTTTATTAATACATATAACTTTTGATTCTTCCCCTCAGGAACAACTCCAGGAACAACACCAGAAACCACTCCGGCTACAACACCTGCAACAACACCTGCAACAACACCAGGAACGACACCCGGAACATCAACTGGAACGACACCTTTGACAACGCCAGCTACAACACCTGGAACAATACCTGGAACAACACGAGGCACAACACCAGGTTAGCTAGGTCAAGTTTTGTATAGTGTTTAAAGTTAGACACACTACTGTACTTTCAAGGACTTGGGTTCTCTGAATGTCATGTGGCCATTGCATCGGTAAGAAGTTTAAACATTTGTCACACCTTATATATGTCTTTTTCAATGTCAAACAGCAATAATTAAATAAACTAAGCCCACAAATCTCAAATATATTTAGTTCTATATTAAAACTGATAACTTTTGTTTTTTTCCCTCACGAACTACTCCAGGAACAACACGAGGAACCACTCCGGCTACAACACCTGCAACAAAACCTGCAACAACGCCAGGAACGACACCCGGAACATCACCTGGACCAACACCTGTGACAACGCCAGCTACAACACCTGGAACAACACCTGGAACAACACCAGGCACAACACCAGGTACTACACCAGGCACAACACTAGGTAAGGTCAAGTTTTGTTTGAGGTTTAAAGGTAGACAAATTAGTAGTAGTAGTAGTAGTAGTAGCTGTCTGTCGCGAAGCGACAATGACCGCCTTCATTTTCACTTTACAGCTGTTCTCCATACAGCTCGCTGGCCTGCAGCAGTTGTCCAAGTCTTGGTTTCAATTTGCCTCCGCTTAAGGTTCCTCTTGATCGTGTCCTTGTAGCGAAGCCGTGGACGACCAATCCCTCTTTCGCCAGCGGGTAGTTGCGAGAATAGTACTTGCTTTGGTAACCTCTCAGAGGGCATCCTGATGACATGGCCTGTCCATCGTAGGTTCTTCCTAATGAGCAGGTCCTCCATAGAAGGAAGGTTTGCTCGCTCTAGTACCTCTTTGTTGGTCACCTTGTCCTTCCAACTGATTCTCATGATTGCTCGAAGGTGTCTCATCATGAACGCGTGAAGTTTCTTTACTTGACTTGTGTAGAGAGTCCAGCTTTCCGCACCGTATAAGAGAGTGGATAGGACGATAGCCCTGTAGATTTTGCACTTCACTCTTGTTGAGACATGATGGTTGTTCCATAGCCTGGTTCGCAGTCTTCCAAAGGCACTGCTGGCCTTTGACATTCTTTTCACCAGCTCAGAGTCGATGCGTCCGTCTTTGGATATGGTGCTGCCGAGGTAAGTGAAGTCATCTACCTGGTTTAGGGCTGTCCCATCCACTAGGATTTCCTCCTCCTCTAGGTGGTCTGTACCTGGTTGGAATAGTACTTCAGTCTTTTTGATGTTTATTTGTAGACCGAACTTCTTTGATGCTGATGAAAATACATCTATAACATGTTGCATCTGCTCTGGTGTATGAGAAACAAGAGCACTGTCATCTGCAAAGAGGAGTTCCCTCACGAGAATCTGTGTAGACTTCGTCTTAGCTTTGAAGTGTGCGACATTGAATAGGTCGGCGTCTTGACGTGATTGTATGTAAACGCCTTCCTCAAAGTCCGCAAAGGCCTCCTCCAGCATCGCCGAGAGAAAGATGGAGAACAGCGTAGGGGCCAACACACATCCTTGTTTTACACCGTTACTTACAGGGAAGCTATGGGATGTTTCGCCTGCTTCCTTGACTTTAGCCATCATACCCGTATGTAAGGACTCTACCATTCCGGTGAACTTCTCGGGACATCCATACTTTCGTAGTAGTTCCCAAAGACCTGTCCTACCAACAGTGTCAAAGGCTTTCGTGAAATCGACAAAAACCACATAGAGGGATCGGTTGTGCTCAATGCACTTCTCCTGTAGTTGTCTGAGGCAGAAGATCATATCTACTGTGCTGCGGTTGTTCCTAAATCCGCATTGCGTCTCCGGCAATATATCTGGTGCTATGTGGGTATTCAATCTGTTCAGAAGGATCCTGGCAAAAACTTTCCCTGCTATTGACAATAGCGATATTCCTCTGTAGTTTCCACATTGAGTTCTATCTCCTTTTTTGAAGATGGCGACAATATTAGCATCCTTCCAATCCTGAGGTACGGAGCCTTCTGCCCATGCTTGTTGTATCAGCATTAGTAAACTGCTGGTTAGTGTGGCTCCTCCGTGCTTCCATATCTCGCTTGGTATCCCATCCACTCCGGGTGCCTTGCCATCACCCAAGGAGGCAATTGCCAGGTTTAGCTCTTTTCGTGTTGGAATATCATCGAGTGCAGTAACTACAGGTCGCTGGTTGATCCTATCACGCGCTGCAGGCTCGATATCTCCTGGCTGGTTGAGTAGTGTCTCAAAATGCTGCGACCATCGTTCAAGCACCCTTTTGTTGTCTGAAAAGGTTGTGTTACCGTCCAGGGACTTGAGATGAACTGTACTCCTAGTCTGGGGGCCCCAGACTTCTTTCAGTCCAGTGTAGAAGGACTTCATGTCATTATTGTCTGCGGAGCGCTGCAGGTCCTCTGCCTTTTTCTCCCACCAGGTGGTTTTCATTTTCCGTGTGTACCTCTGCAAGTGTCTGCAGGCTTCCTTGTACGCGGTGGTGGTTGACCTGGTACTTCTAGTCTGTAATACACGTTGGTGTGTTTCATTCCTTTTCTTCATGAGTATCAGAAGCTCGGAGTCTTCTGGGTCAAACCAGTCCTGGTGTTTTCGCTCTGGTTTACCGAGGGTGTTGCTCGCTGTGTCATATACTACTTTGCTGAGTGATGCCCAGGTCTGATCAACTGTCATTCCCTCTTGCACTCCCCAAGTCGCCAGAGCTTTCTCCATATCTTGCTCTAGCTTTAGCCGTTGTGTGTTGACGTGTAGCCGGTCTGTGTTCAGCTTTGCAAGTTTAGTAGCTCCTTGCTTCCTACGCTTTGAACGTAAAGCAAATGCAATCTTTGATCTTAGTAGCTGGTGATCGGTCAAGCAGTTAGCTCCACGCATAGTTCTTGTGCTGTGAACATCCATTCTGTCTCGTTGTCTTGTTATGATGTAATCAATCAGGTGCCAATGCTTAGAGCGAGGGTGCATCCAGGTGGTTTTGTGTTCTTCCCTCTGCTTGAACACGGTGTTTGTCAGTAGGAGTTCGAACTCAGAGCACAGCGCTAGAAGTAGCTCACCATTGGTGTTGCATTTACCGATTCCGTGCCTGCCTAACACCGACTGCCATTTCTCATAGTCTCGTCCTACCCGGGCATTGAAGTCTCCCATCAATATCAGCTTGTCAGTCCGGGGGGTGTCCCGCAACGTTCGTCTAAGCTGATTGTAGAAGTTCTCCTTTGTTTCATCCGGACTCGTCATGGTTGGTGCGTATACACTGATGAGAGTAGCATTTCCCTTCTTCATCAGTGGTACTGTCATTGTCATAATTCTATCATTCACCGCTTTAGGCATTTCTGTGAGCTTCGCTAAGATCTCTTTTCTGATGGCGAATCCCACTCCAGCCTCTCGTCGTACCCCGTCCGGCTTGCCGCTCCAGAAGAATGTGTAGCCCATGTCATCGAGCCTACCTGACTCGGAGAAACGTGTTTCACTCAGAGCAGCAATGTCAATTTTGTACTTCTCCAGCTCCATGGCTACAAGGGCAGTCCTTCTCTCTGGCCTGCCAGTTCCTTCCCGATCGAGGAGTGTCCTGACATTCCACTGTCCAAACGTCATTGTAGTAATTCCGCTGGTGTCATCTTTTTGTTGTTGTTGTTTACTTCCTAGCATACTTGGCACTGTCGACGGAAGTCCTGATCTAACAGCGCGGTCCTTGTTAACCCGGAAGACGACCGAACCGGTATGAAGTTTCATACTGTTGCGCATAGTGAAGGCTGCTTGCAAAGGTGGATAAGTACCGGTAGCTCTTGCAAGTTACTACCGGCACTCTCTCGGGGAACTGGTGGCAGTTTCACACCGGCGAGGACAAACCAGGACGGGTGTGAACCACTAGACCCTGCAGTGACTGGTCGAAGGATGTCGGGAGTTCCGTATCGTCAATCGCCCTCAATGCTGTCACGGTGGCATGGTTTTCTGTTAGGGTTTGCTCCCTTAGCCTTAGTTAGATTCTAAAGAGAACCTGAACCACAGGGCAGTGGTTACAACTAAGCATGGCAAAACCAATTAACAATTATCAAAAGAATGAGGCGGTTACAATTACTCTTATGACAAGAGTACTAATTGAACCAACAAAATATTACCTTACTTTATTGATTATATCTATTCAGTGCTGTGATAAAAACACTGATTATAGTAGAGAAACAAAGATTTTTTTCTCGAAATAAGTGCAAGAATATTAAGGAGATTAAGGGCAGATCGAATAACCTTACGATATCAAACTAATTTAAATTAAAAAAAAAAAAAAAAAAAAAAAAAAAAAAAATGAATAACTGATTATAATATATTATGAATCAATGGATTTGATCTGCAGTAACCTCTAAGTAAGCTATATGGTAATGCAGCAGAATTAATGATAGTCTATCGTATATATATATTGAGGAGGTATCAGCAATTAAGGTAGACTATAAACTATAAAAAAAAATATTTAAAAAAAGAAAAGAAAAGAAGATAAAGACGTAGGACATAAAAAGAATATAATCGAAATGTCCGACTAAGTTCCGTGGCACAAACTCGGCATTATTGGACAAACCTACCATTGGAGAAACCTAACAATTACAGAGCTTGGTCTTGTTGCTCTGTTCGCCAGCAGTTTAAGGATATGAAACCCCGCGGCACACTACTCACAAGAGCTCTAACAAGCCAAGCTTATACAGAGCCTAAAAGTAAAATAAAATAATACCGCGTAAGTACCACTCACCCAATCGATTCAAGAACAAATTATGATTAAGTTAATCACGTAAAAACAGGAAAATATAAAAACAATAATTGAATAAACACCAAATTGTGAACTATAATAATATTATCAGCACTCAAACACACCCAACGCACATATCAGTACAAAGCGTAGTATATATATCTTTACAAATCCAGTAATATAATTATTTATTATTATTATTATTATTATTATTCATTTATTTATTTATTTATTATTCATATTATTTCATATTAATAGTAACATAAAGTGTTCATATTGTAATAAAGGATAATTCCTCTGCGCGTACTTCAATTGAAAGGCGCTGGCGCAGGTGTATATGCGCAATTATAAATTAAGAAGTAATAAAACAAATAACAGAGTGCGCAATATGTTGTCACTGACAACAGGTGTTTAGCACTACGCGCAGCAAAAACAACTGCAATTTTGACTTCCTTCACTATAAAAAAAACAAAATTTGATCACTAAATCACCAAATATATGAAAATCAAAAAGCTAAATCAAAAGACTCATCCTAGAAATGGCTTGTACGTGTCCAGATCATCACTTTAGTACCAATCACAGCATAGAAACAAACGCCAAAACGGAAAAAATATGAGAAACAAGGGAGCTCAGCAGAAACACGTCCGCCCCCATTCGCAGCTCATCTGTAGACAAATTACTCTACTTAAAAGGAGTTGGGTTCTCTGAATGTCATGTGGTTATTGCATCTGTAAGAAGATTAACCATTTGTCACACCTAATATATGTCATTTCCAATGCCAAGCAGCAACTGATAATCAAGTAAACTAAGTACACAAATCTTGAATATTTTAAGTTCTTTATTAATACATATAACTTTTGATTCTTCCCAACAGGAACAACTCCAGGAACAACACCAGAAACCACTCCGGCTACAACACCTGTGACATCACCTGGAACAACACCTGTGACAACGCCAGCTACAACACCTGGAACAACACCTAGAACAACACCAGGCACAACACCAGGTTAGGTCAAGTTTTGTTTGGGGTTTAATGTTAGACACACTACTGTACTTTCAAGGAGTTAGGTTCTCTGAATGTCATTTCCAATGCCAAACAGCAACTGATAATCAAGTAAACTAAGCACACAAATCTTGAATATATTTAGTTCTTTATTAATACATACAACTTTTGATTCTTCCCCTCAGGAACAACTCCAGGAACAACACCAGAAACCACTCCGGCTACAACACCTGCAACAACACCTGCAACAACACCAGGAACGACACCCGGAACATCAACTGGAACGACACCTTTGACAACGCCAGCTACAACACCTGGAACAATACCTGGAACAACACGAGGCACAACACCAGGTTAGCTAGGTCAAGTTTTGTATAGTGTTTAAAGTTAGACAAACTACTGTACTTTCAAGGACTTGGGTTCTCTGAATGTCATGTGGCCATTGCATCGGTAAGAAGTTTAAACATTTGTCACACCTTATATATGTCTTTTTCAATGTCAAACAGCAATAATCAAATAAACTAAGCGCACAAATCTCAAATATATTTAGTTCTATATTAAAACTGATAACTTTTGTTTTTTTCCCTCACGAACTACTCCAGGAACAACACGAGGAACCACTCCGGCTACAACACCTGCAACAAAACCTGCAACAACGCCAGGAACGACACCCGGAACATCACCTGGACCAACACCTGTGACAACGCCAGCTACAACACCTGGAACAACACCTGGAACAACACCAGGCACAACACCAGGTACTACACCAGGCACAACACTAGGTAAGGTCAAGTTTTGTTTGAGGTTTAAAGGTAGACAAATTACTCTACTTAAAAGGAGTTGGGTTCTCTGAATGTCATGTGGTTATTGCATCTGTAAGAAGATTAACCATTTGTCACACCTAATATATGTCATTTCCAATGCCAAGCAGCAACTGATAATCAAGTAAACTAAGTACACACATCTTGAATATGTTTAGTTCTATATTAATACATATAACTTTTGATCCTTTCCCTTGGGAACAACTCCAGGAACAACAACCGGAACAACACCTGCAACAACATCTGTGACAACACCTGGAACAACACCAGGCACAACACCAGGTACAACACCAGTCACAACACCAGGTTAGGTCAAGTTTTGTTTTAGGTTTAAAGGTAGACAAACTACTCTACTTAAAAGAAGTTGGGTTCTCTGAATGTCATGTGGTTATTGCATCTGTAAGAAGTTTAAACATTTGTCACACCTAATATATGTCTTTTCAATGTCAAACAGCAACAATCAAATAAACTAAGCGCACAAATCGTGAATATGTTTAGTTCTATATTAAAACTTATAACTTTTGACTTTTTTCGTCAGGAACAAGTCCAGGAACAACACCAGGAACCACTCCGGCTACAACACCTGGAACAACACCTGGAACATCGCCAGGAACGACACCCGGAACAACACCTGGAACAACACCTGTGACAACGCCAGCTACAACACCTGGAACAACACATAGAACAAGACCAGTCACAACACCAGGTTAGGTCAAGTTTTGTTTGGGGTTTAATGTTAGACACACTACTGTACTTTCAAGGAGTTGGGTTCTCTAAATGTCATTTCCAATGCCAAACAGCAACTGATAATCAAGTAAACTATGTACACAAATCTTGAATATATTTAGTTCTTTATTAATACACATATCTTTTGATTCTTCCCCTCAGGAACAACTCCAGGAACAACACCAGAAACCACTCCGGCTACAACACCTGCAACAACACCTGCAACAACACCAGGAACGACACATGCAACAACACCTGTGACAACATCTGGAACAACACCTGGCACAACACCAGGTACTACACCAGTCACAACACCAGGTTAGGTCAAGTTCTGTTTTCGATTTAAAGGTAGACAAACTACTCTACTTAAAAGAAGTTGGGTTCTCTGAATGTCGTGTGGTTATTGCATCTGTAAGAAGAATAAACATTTCTCACACCTATAATATATGTCATCTCCAATACCAAACAGCAACTGATAATAAAGTAAACTAAGCACACAAATCTTGAATATTTTAAGTTCTCTATTAATACATATAACTTTTGATTCTTTCACTCGGGAACAACTCCAGAAACAACACCTGGAACCACTCCAGCTAAAACACCTGCAACAACGCCAGGAACGACAACCGGAACAACACCTGCAACAACACCTGTGACAACACCTGGAACAATACCAGGCACAACACCAGGCACAACACCAGGTTAGGTCAAGTTTTGTTTGATGTTTAAAGGTAGACAAACTACTCTACTTAAAAGGAGTTGGGTTCTCTGAATGTCATGTGGTTATTGCATCTGTAAGAAGTTTAAACATTTGTCACACCTAACATATGTCTTTTTCAATGTCAAACAGCACCAATCAAATAAACTAAGTGCACAAATCGTGAATATGTTTAGTTCTATATTAATACTTATAACTTTTGATTTTTTTTCCTCAGGAACAAGTCCAGGAACAACACCAGGAACCACTCCGGCTACAACACCTGCAACAGCACCTGGAACATCGCCAGGAACGACACCCGGAACAACACCTGGAACAACACCTGTGACAACGCCAGCTACAACACCTGGAACAACACCTAGAACAACACCAGGCACAACACCAGGTTAGGTCAAGTTTTGTTTGGGGTTTAATGTTAGACACACTACTGTACTTTCAAGAAGTTAGGTTCTCTGAATGACATTTCCAATGCCAAACAGCAACTGATAATCAAGTAAACTAAGCACACAAATCTTGAATATATTTAGTTATTTATTAATACATATAACTTTTGATTCTTTCCCTCAGGAACAACTCCAGGAACAACACCAGAAACCATTTCGGCTACAACACCTGCAACAACACCTGCAACAACACCAGGAACGACACCCGGAACAACACCTGGACCAACACCTGTGACAACGCCAGCTACAACACCTGGAACAACACCTGGAACAACACTAGGCACAACACCAGGTACTACACCAGGAACAACACTAGGTTAGGTCAAGTTTTGTTTGAGGTTTAAAGGTAGACAAACTACTCTACTTAAAAAGAGTTGGGTTCTCTGAATGTCATGTGGTTATTGCATCTGTAAGAAGATTAACCATTTGTCACACCTAATATATGTCATTTCCAATGCCAAGCAGCAACTGATAATCAAGTTAACTAAGTACACAAATCTTGAATCAGTTCGTTTACTTTGTTTGATTTATTGACTGATAGTTTCACAAATGAGGTAACTCTTTCCCTCACTGTCGTTAATCGAATTGAAGATACCACTTTTGACTTTATTTTGCTGTATCCCTGCAAGTGAAGATTAATCTTTTCAAACGAGTATTTTCTCTTCTCGTTATCTTTATCAAATTCATTGCCTTCGGAAATCATTTTTTTTTTTACATGTTTAGCTGATTGTCTTGACGATTCGTGTACAAGTAGAGGAACTTGTACTCCTGGATCAGCCGCCGTAACGTGCGCGTGTAATTCCGGCTATTCTGGCGATTCATGTGAAACAGGTAATCTATAACTTCTGAAAAGATGATACAAAAAACATACATACATTCACTTTTGATGTAAAGCAAAATCCAATGAAATTCTTATTCGTTGCTTATCAAGAAATTAAAGATACAGAGCGAACAGGGGAACAGAAAGAAAGAAATTACAGTGATTGTTGAGGAAACTCTTTGAGTTTCTTCTTACTTGAGAGTCAACAGAAGTGAAAGTACAGACATACAGATTTGAACTTTGAAAGAAATAATCAGTCCGTTTACTTTGTTTAATCTATTGACTGATAGTTTCACAAATGAGGTAACTCTTTCGCTCACTGTCGTTAATTGAATTGAAGATACCACTTTTGACTCTATTTTACTGTATACCTCCAAGTGAAGATTAATCTTTTCCAACGGGTATTTTTCTCTTCTCGTCATCTTTATCAAATTCATTGCCTTCGGAAATCATTTTTTTGTTGTTACATGTTTAGCTGATTGTCTTGACGATTCGTGTACGAGTACACGTAGAGGAACTTGTACTCCTGGATCAGCCGCCGTAACGTGCGCGTGTAATTCCGGCTATTCTGGCGATTCATGTGAAACAGGTAATCTATAACTTCTGAATAGATCATACAAAAAACATACATACATTCATATTTGATGTAAAGCAAAATCCAATGAAATTCTTATTCGTTGCTTATCAAGAAATTAAAGATACAGAGCGAACAGGGGAACAGAAAGAAAGAAATTACAGTATACAAATGATGCACAGGTTTGAGTGCGTCGGTAGGGATTGTGTGCACAAGGTACCTTTGAATGGTTTGAACCTACGAGGCGCAGCCGAGTGGGTTTTAGACCAAATTCAAAGGTACCGCGTGCACACAATTCCACCGACCCACGAATTAAACCTGTGCATCATCTGTTTTATAAGATGGCGCCCAAAAATTTGTCAAAAATACAAAATTGTGTTATTTTACAGATTTACCGGATGCATGGCCAAATCATGCTTTCCGGTAATTACCGGAAAGCATGATTTGGCCGTAGCCATGCTTTCCGGTAATTACCGGAAAGCATGATTTTTTTAAAAATTTGCATAAATTTGCTTTATTTTTAAATTTGCATAATTTTTAAATTTTAGTGCAATGGATGATAAAAAATGTAATGTAATTACCGCAAAGCATGATTTTTTTAGAAATTTGCATAAATTTGCATAATTTTTAAATTTGCATAATTTTTAAATTTTAGTGCAATGGATGAAAAAAAAAATGTAATGACTTACCTTAAACATGAAACTTGTGAAGTCAAGTATGAAAAATCAATGCTAACAACAAAAATGATGAACGCTGAACAGGAAAAATGATGAACGCTGAACAGGAAAAAATGATGAACGCTGAACAGGAAAACTGATGAACGCTGAACGTATCTACACTGTCTGTATTACAGTCTAGTTATTGTGAATGTGTACTACACAGTCACTAAAGCTAAAGTTGTGACTGGTGGCACGCATATTGTTCTCTGATGACAGAGACAATGAGAGTGGAGCACGAGGTTGCGGAGTTTGTGCTAATGCCAATGGCATGAGAGGGGTAGTAGGAGGAGGTGGTGCTAGTGCTACGGTAGTAGTAGTAGTAGAAGGAGGTGGTGCTTGTGCTACGGTTGATGTAGCAGGAGCATAGGACATCTGTTTTCCAATTTCACTGCTCATCTCCCGTTTTCGGCCATCACTAGTCTTGCTGTAGATCTTGATGGAACTCTCGCTGCGATGCCCACTCACAGCCATAATGTCCCTTGACTGAAAACCAGCTTTGTCGAGTGACGTGACACACGTTGCACGCAGGCAGTGATTAGTGTAGACTTTACTACATCCGGCAGCGGTGGAGATTTTCTTCATCTTGTTTGAGAGTGTATTGACACCAACCGGGCTGTTGCAGTACCATGGCTCATTTCCATCGTGCGGTTGACTAGCTTTTGGTTTTTGCCAAAACCATTCACAAGATGGATGCAGTTTTGAAACATAAATCTCAAATGACTTCACAGGGCATCGGTCACTGCCTGGAATTTCGTACATATATCCTCCGGTCGTTTCATCGTCATTCTCTCTGTGGTTTTTTGTGAGCTGGTCACGTTTCGTTACATACCGCAGTCCATCTTCATCGGTGAAGATCGTAAAATCAGACACTTTGAAGTTACGTACATTCTCACGACCTCTATTGCAAAAGAAAGTCATTAAATCTAGAAACACTTTGTTTTGCAAGCCTTTTGGGGAGGTGCAATCCAACTCTGAAGAGGTCTGGATCTTGTTCATGTCAAGCAAAGAAATTGAGGCTTTATGTGTGGTGCTTCCCAGCCCCTCTCGCTTCAGTTTCACCAACACAGCCTTAAACATACGTGTGCTCACTGGAAATTGCAATTTGCTACAGATATCCAAAGCATTACGGTTATCCAAAAAGTGGCGTTGTATGCCATAGCGAAGGTATTGAAGAGACTTCTTCGTATATAACTCACCGTCAGTCTTACGGACACTGGCATAGAATGATGATAAAAGTTTATCCAATTCTGGCGTTGAAATCTCTCCTAAATTGACTTCCTTTATCTGCGCAAACTTTTCCAACTTAGAGAATCCGTACTTTATTGATCTTTTCGTGCTGGCCGCATCGGAATCACCCAACAATTTAGCTAATTCTTCCTCCGACAGAAGCTGGAAAGTCAAATCGCCGCCGAGATTCGCCATCTTGAGCCGCAGATATCAGCTGGCTATCAGCTGACGTTCGAAATGTCAACAATCTAGATATCGGTGCTATCGATTCCGATATCGCATATATCGTGTTGATATCGCGTGCATCCAGTAAAATTAATTAAACGGTAATTGACCAATCAGATTGCAGGGATTCTTCCACCCATCTTATAATGATTGTTGAGGAAACTCTTTGAGTTTCTTCTTACTTGAGAGTCAACAGAAGTGAAAGTACAGACGTACAGATTTGAACTTTGAAAGAAATTATCAGTCCGTTTACTTTGTTTGCTTTATTGACTGATAGTTTCACAAATGAGGTAACTCTTTCGCTCAATGTCGTTAATTGAATTGAAGATACCACTTTTGACTCTATTTTACTGTATACCTCCAAGTGAAGATTAATATTTTCCAACGGGTATCTTTCTCTTCTCTTTATCTTTATCAAATTCCTTGCCTTCGGAAATCATTTTTTGTTTTACATGTTTAGCTGATTGTCTTGACGATTCGTGTACAAGTAGAGGAACTTGTACTCCTGGATCAGACGCCGTAACGTGCGCGTGTAATTCCGGCTATTTTGGCGATTCATGTGAAACAGGTAATCTATAACTTCTGAATAGATCATACAAAAAACATACATACATTCACTTTTGATTTAAAGCAAAATCCAATCAAATTCTTATTCGTTGCTTATCAAGAAATTAAAGATACAGAGCGAACTGGGGAACAGAAAGAACGAAATTACAATGTTTGTTGAGGAAACTCCTTAAGTTTCTTCTTACTTGACAGTCAACAGAAGTGAAAGTACAGACATACAGATTTGAACTTTGAAAGAAATAATCAGTCCGTTTACTTTGTTTGATTTATTGACTAATAGTTTCACAAATGAGGTAACTCTTTTCCTCACTGTCGTTAATCGAATTGAAGATACCACTTTTGACTCTAATATACTGTATCCCTCCAAGTGAAGATTAATCTTTTCAAACGGGTATTTTTCTCTTCTCGTTATCTTTATCAAATTCATTGCCTTCGGAAATCATTTTTGTTTTTTTACATGTTTAGCTGATTGTCTTGACGATTCGTGTACGAGTACAAGTAGAGGAACTTGTACTCCTGGATCAGCCGCCGTAACGTGCGCGTGTAATTCCGGCTATTCTGGCGATTCATGTGAAACAGGTAATCTATAACTTCTAAATAGATTATACAAAAAACATACATACATTCACTTTTGATGTAAAGCAAAATCTAATGAAATTCTTATTCGTTGCTTATCAAGAAATTAAAGATACAGAGCGAACAGGGGAACAGAAAGAAAGAAATTACAGTGATTGTTGAGGAAACTCTTTGAGTTTCTTCTTACTTGAGAGTCAACAGAAGTGAAAGTACAGACGTACAGATTTGAACTTTGAAAAAAATTATCAGTCCGTTTACTTTGTTTGATTTATTGACTGATAGTTTCACAAATGAGGTAACTCTTTCGCTCACTGTCGTTAATTGAATTGAAGATACCACTTTTGACTCTATTTTACTGTATACCTCCAAGTGAAGATAATATTTTCCAACGGGTATTTTTCTCTTCTCTTTATCTTTATCAAATTCCTTGCCTTCGGAAATCATTTTTTTTTTTACATGTTTAGCTGATTGTCTTGACGATTCGTGTACAAGTAGAGGAACTTGTACTCCTGGATCAGCCGCCGTAACGTGCGCGTGTAATTCCGGCTATTCTGGCGATTCATGTGAAACAGGTAATCTATAACTTCTGAATAGATCATACAAAAAACATACTTACATTCACTTTTGATTTAAAGCAAAATCCAATGAAATTCTTATTCGTTGCTTATCAAGAAATTAAAGATACAGAGCGGACAGGGGAACAGAAAGAAAGAAATTACAGTGATTGTTGAGGAAACTCTTTGAGTTTCTTCTTACTTGAGAGTCAACAGAAGTGAAAGTACAGACGTACAGATTTGAACTTTGAAAGAAATTATCAGTCCGTTTACTTTGTTTGCTTTATTGACTGATAGTTTCACAAATGAGGTAACTCTTTCGCTCACTGTCGTTAATTGAATTGAAGATACCACTTTTGACTCCATTTTACTGTATACCTCCAAGTGAAGATTAATATTTTCCAACGGGTATTTTTCTCTTCTCGTCATCTTTATCAAATTCATTGCCTTCGGAAATCATTTTTTTTTTTTTACATGTTTAGCTGATTGTCTTGACGATTCGTGTACGAGTACAAGTAGAGGAACTTGTACTCCTGGATCAGCCGCCGTAACGTGCGCGTGTAATTCCGGCTATTCTGGCGATTCATGTGAAACAGGTAATCTATAACTTCTAAATAGATGATACAAAAAACATACATACATTCATATTTGATGTAAAGCAAAATCCAATGAAATTCTTATTCGTTGCTTATCAAGAAATTAAAGATACAGAGCGGACAGGGGAACAGAAAGAAAGAAATTACAGTGATTGTTGAGGAAACTCTTTGAGTTTCTTCTTACTTGAGAGTCAACAGAAGTGAAAGTACAGACGTACAGATTTGAACTTTGAAAGAAATTATCAGTCCGTTTACTTTGTTTGCTTTATTGACTGATAGTTTCACAAATGAGGTAACTCTTTCGCTCACTGTCGTTAATTGAATTGAAGATACCACTTTTGACTCTATTTTACTGTATACCTCCAAGTGAAGATTAATATTTTCCAACGGGTATTTTTCTCTTCTCTTTATCTTTTTCAAATTCCTTGCCTTCGGAAATCATTTTTTTTTGTACATGTTTAGCTGATTGTCTTGACGATTCGTGTACAAGTAGAGGAACATGTACTCCTGGATCAGACGCCGTAACGTGCGCGTGTAATTCCGGCTATTTTGGCGATTCATGTGAAACAGGTAATCTATAACTTCTGAATAGATCATACAAAAAACATACATACATTCACTTTTGATTTAAAGCAAAATCCAATCAAATTCTTATTCGTTGCTTATCAAGAAATTAAAGATACAGAGCGAACAGGGGAACAGAAAGAACGAAATTACAATGTTTGTTGAGGAAACTCCTTAAGTTTCTTCTTACTTGACAGTCAACAGAAGTGAAAGTACAGACATACAGATTTGAACTTTGAAAGAAATAATCAGTCCGTTTACTTTGTTTGATTTATTGACTAATAGTTTCACAAATGAGGTAACTCTTTTCCTCACTGTCGTTAATCGAATTGAAGATACCACTTTTGACTCTAATATACTGTATCCCTCCAAGTGAAGATTAATCTTTTCAAACGGGTATTTTTCTCTTCTCGTTATCTTTATCAAATTCATTGCCTTCGGAAATCATTTTTGTTTTTTTTTACATGTTTAGCTGATTGTCTTGACGATTCGTGTACGAGTACACGTAGAGGAACTTGTACTCCTGGATCAGCCGCCGTAACGTGCGCGTGTAATTCCGGCTATTCTGGCGATTCATGTGAAACAGGTAATCTATAACTTCTAAATAGATTATACAAAAAACATACATACATTCACTTTTGATGTAAAGCAAAATCTAATGAAATTCTTATTCGTTGCTTATCAAGAAATTAAAGATACAGAGCGAACAGGGGAACAGAAAGAAAGAAATTACAGTGATTGTTGAGGAAACTCTTTGAGTTTCTTCTTACTTGAGAGTCAACAGAAGTGAAAGTACAGACGTACAGATTTGAACTTTGAAAGAAATTATCAGTCCGTTTACTTTGTTTGATTTATTGACTGATAGTTTCACAAATGAGGTAACTCTTTCGCTCACTGTCGTTAATTGAATTGAAGATACCACTTTTGACTCTATTTTACTGTATACCTCCAAGTGAAGATTAATATTTTCCAACGGGTATTTTTCTCTTCTCTTTATCTTTATCAAATTCCTTGCCTTCGGAAATCATTTTTTTTTTTACATGTTTAGCTGATTGTCTTGACGATTCGTGTACAAGTAGAGGAACTTGTACTCCTGGATCAGCCGCCGTAACGTGCGCGTGTAATTCCGGCTATTCTGGCGATTCATGTGAAACAGGTAATCTATAACTTCTGAATAGATCATACAAAAAACATACATACATTCACTTTTGATTTAAAGCAAAATCCAATCAATTTCTTATTCGTTGCTTATCAAGAAATTAAAGATACAGAGCGAACAGGGGAACAGAAAGAACGAAATTACAATGTTTGTTGAGGAAACTCCTTAAGTTTCTTCTTACTTGACAGTCAACAGAAGTGAAAGTACAGACATACAGATTTGAACTTTGAAAGAAATAATCAGTCCGTTTACTTTGTTTGATTTATTGACTAATAGTTTCACAAATGAGGTAACTCTTTTCCTCACTGTCGTTAATCGAATTGAAGATACCACTTTTGACTCTAATATACTGTATCCCTCCAAGTGAAGATTAATCTTTTCAAACGGGTATTTTTCTCTTCTCGTTATCTTTATCAAATTCATTGCCTTCGGAAATCATTTTTTTTTTTTACATGTTTAGCTGATTGTCTTGACGATTCGTGTACGAGTACAAGTAGAGGAACTTGTACTCCTGGATCAGCCGCCGTAACGTGCGCGTGTAATTCCGGCTATTCTGGCGATTCATGTGAAACAGGTAATCTATAACTTCTGAATAGATCATACAAAAAACATACTTACATTCACTTTTGATTTAAAGCAAAATCCAATGAAATTCTTATTCGTTGCTTATCAAGAAATTAAAGATACAGAGCGGACAGGGGTACAGAAAGAAAGAAATTACAGTGATTGTTGAGGAAACTCTTTGAGTTTCTTCTTACTTGAGAGTCAACAGAAGTGAAAGTACAGACGTACAGATTTGAACTTTGAAAGAAATTATCAGTCCGTTTACTTTGTTTGCTTTATTGACTGATAATTTCACAAATGAGGTAACTCTTTCGCTCACTGTCGTTAATTGAATTGAAGATACCACTTTTGACTCCATTTTACTGTATACCTCCAAGTGAAGATTAATATTTTCCAACGGGTATTTTTCTCTTCTCGTCATCTTTATCAAATTCATTGCCTTCGGAAATCATTTTTTTTTTTTTTACATGTTTAGCTGATTGTCTTGACGATTCGTGTACGAGTACAAGTAGAGGAACTTGTACTCCTGGATCAGCCGCCGTAACGTGCGCGTGTAATTCCGGCTATTCTGGCGATTCATGTGAAACAGGTAATCTATAACTTCTAAATAGATGATACAAAAAACATACATACATTCATATTTGATGTAAAGCAAAATCCAATGAAATTCTTATTCGTTGCTTATCAAGAAATTAAAGATACAGAGCGGACAGGGGAACAGAAAGAAAGAAATTACAGTGATTGTTGAGGAAACTCTTTGAGTTTCTTCTTACTTGAGAGTCAACAGAAGTGAAAGTACAGACGTACAGATTTGAACTTTGAAAGAAATTATCAGTCCGTTTACTTTGTTTGCTTTATTGACTGATAGTTTCACAAATGAGGTAACTCTTTCGCTCACTGTCGTTAATTGAATTGAAGATACCACTTTTGACTCTATTTTACTGTATACCTCCAAGTGAAGATTAATATTTTCCAACGGGTATCTTTCTCTTCTCTTTATCTTTATCAAATTCCTTGCCTTCGGAAATCATTTTTTTTTTTACATGTTTAGCTGATTGTCTTGACGATTCGTGTACAAGTAGAGGAACTTGTACTCCTGGATCAGACGCCGTAACGTGCGCGTGTAATTCCGGCTATTTTGGCGATTCATGTGAAACAGGTAATCTATAACTTCTGAATAGATCATACAAAAAACATACATACATTCACTTTTGATTTAAAGCAAAATCCAATCAAATTCTTATTCGTTGCTTATCAAGAAATTAAAGATACAGAGCGAACAGGGGAACAGAAAGAACGAAATTACAATGTTTGTTGAGGAAACTCCTTAAGTTTCTTCTTACTTGACAGTCAACAGAAGTGAAAGTACAGACATACAGATTTGAACTTTGAAGGAAATAATCAGTCCGTTTACTTTGTTTGATTTATTGACTAATAGTTTCACAAATGAGGTAACTCTTTTCCTCACTGTCGTTAATCGAATTGGAGATACCACTTTTGACTCTAATATACTGTATCCCTCCAAGTGAAGATTAATCTTTTCAAACGGGTATTTTTCTCTTCTCGTTATCTTTATCAAATTCATTGCCTTCCGAAATCATTTTTGTTTTTTTTACATGTTTAGCTGATTGTCTTGACGATTCGTGTACGAGTACAAGTAGAGGAACTTGTACTCCTGGATCAGCCGCCGTAACGTGCGCGTGTAATTCCGGCTATTCTGGCGATTCATGTGAAACAGGTAATCTATAACTTCTAAATAGATTATACAAAAAACATACATACGTTCACTTTTGATGTAAAGCAAAATCTAATGAAATTCTTATTCGTTGCTTATCAAGAAATTAAAGATACAGAGCGAACAGGGGAACAGAAAGAAAGAAATTACAGTGATTGTTGAGGAAACTCTTTGAGTTTCTTCTTACTTGAGAGTCAACAGAAGTGAAAGTACAGACGTACAGATTTGAACTTTGAAAGAAATAATCAGTCCGTTTACTTTGTTTGATTTATTGACTAATAGTTTCACAAATGAGGTAACTCTTTTCCTCACTGTCGTTAATCGAATTGAAGATACCACTTTTGACTCTAATATACTGTATCCCTCCAAGTGAAGATTAATCTTTTCAAACGGGTATTTTTCTCTTCTCGTTATCTTTATCAAATTCATTGCCTTCGGAAATCATTTTTTTTTTTTACATGTTTAGCTGATTGTCTTGACGATTCGTGTACAAGTAGAGGAACTTGTACTCCTGGATCAGCCGCCGTAACGTGCGCGTGTAATTCCGGCTATTCTGGCGATTCATGTGAAACAGGTAATCTATAACTTCTGAATAGATCATACAAAAAACATACATACATTCACTTTTGATTTAAAGCAAAATCCAATCAAATTCTTATTCGTTGCTTATCAAGAAATTAACGATACAGAGCGAACAGGGGAACAGAAAGAACGAAATTACAATGTTTGTTGAGGAAACTCCTTAAGTTTCTTCTTACTTGACAGTCAACAGAAGTGAAAGTACAGACATACAGATTTGAACTTTGAAAGAAATAATCAGTCCGTTTACTTTGTTTGATTTATTGACTAATAGTTTCACAAATGAGGTAACTCTTTTCCTCACTGTCGTTAATCGAATTGAAGATACCACTTTTGACTCTAATATACTGTATCCCTCCAAGTGAAGATTAATCTTTTCAAACGGGTATTTTTCTCTTCTCGTTATCTTTATCAAATTCATTGCCTTCGGAAATCATTTTTTTTTTTACATGTTTAGCTGATTGTCTTGACGATTCGTGTACGAGTACAAGTAGAGGAACTTGTACTCCTGGATCAGCCGCCGTAACGTGCGCGTGTAATTCCGGCTATTCTGGCGATTCATGTGAAACAGGTAATCTATAACTTCTGAATAGATCATACAAAAAACATACTTACATTCACTTTTGATTTAAAGCAAAATCCAATGAAATTCTTATTCGTTGCTTATCAAGAAATTAAAGATACAGAGCGGACAGGGGTACAGAAAGAAAGAAATTACAGTGATTGTTGAGGAAACTCTTTGAGTTTCTTCTTACTTGAGAGTCAACAGAAGTGAAAGTACAGACGTACAGATTTGAACTTTGAAAGAAATTATCAGTCCGTTTACTTTGTTTGCTTTATTGACTGATAGTTTCACAAATGAGGTAACTCTTTCGCTCACTGTCGTTAATTGAATTGAAGATACCACTTTTGACTCCATTTTACTGTATACCTCCAAGTGAAGATTAATATTTCCAACGGGTATTTTTCTCTTCTCGTCATCTTTATCAAATTCATTGCCTTCGGAAATCATTTTTTTTTTTTTTACATGTTTAGCTGATTGTCTTGACGATTCGTGTACGAGTACAAGTAGAGGAACTTGTACTCGTGGATCAGCCGCCGTAACGTGCGCGTGTAATTCCGGCTATTCTGGCGATTCATGTGAAACAGGTAATCTATAACTTCTAAATAGATGATACAAAAAACATACATACATTCATATTTGATGTAAAGCAAAATCCAATCAAATTCTTATTCGTTGCTTATCAAGAAATTAAAGATACAGAGCGAACAGGGGAACAGAAAGAACGAAATTACAGTGTTTGTTGAGGAAACTCCTTAAGTTTCTTCTTACTTGACAGTCAACAGAAGTGAAAGTACAGACGTACAGATTTGAACTTTGAAAGAAATAATCAGTCCGTTTACTTTGTTTGCTTTATTGACTGATAGTTTCACAAATGAGGTAACTCTTTCGCTTACTGTCGTTAATTGAATTGAAGATACCACTTTTGACTCTATTTTACTGTATACCTCCAAGTGAAGATTAATATTTTCCAACGGGTATCTTTCTCTTCTCTTTATCTTTATCAAATTCCTTGCCTTCGGAAATCATTTTTTTTTTTACATGTTTAGCTGATTGTCTTGACGATTCGTGTACAAGTAGAGGAACTTGTACTCCTGGATCAGACGCCGTAACGTGCGCGTGTAATTCCGGCTATTTTGGCGATTCATGTGAAACAGGTAATCTATAACTTCTGAATAGATCATACAAAAACATACATACATTCACTTTTGATTTAAAGCAAAATCCAATCAAATTCTTATTCGTTGCTTATCAAGAAATTAAAGATACAGAGCGAACAGGGGAACAGAAAGAACGAAATTACAATGTTTGTTGAGGAAACTCCTTAAGTTTCTTCTTACTTGACAGTCAACAGAAGTGAAAGTACAGACATACAGATTTGAACTTTGAAGGAAATAATCAGTCCGTTTACTTTGTTTGATTTATTGACTAATAGTTTCACAAATGAGGTAACTCTTTTCCTCACTGTCGTTAATCGAATTGAAGATACCACTTTTGACTCTAATATACTGTATCCCTCCAAGTGAAGATTAATCTTTTCAAACGGGTATTTTTCTCTTCTCGTTATCTTTATCAAATTCATTGCCTTCGGAAATCATTTTGTTTTTTTTACATGTTTAGCTGATTGTCTTGACGATTCGTGTACGAGTACAAGTAGAGGAACTTGTACTCCTGGATCAGCCGCCGTAACGTGCGCGTGTAATTCCGGCTATTCTGGCGATTCATGTGAAACAGGTAAGTTATAACTTCTAAATAGATTATACAAAAAACATACATACATTCACTTTTGATGTAAAGCAAAATCTAATGAAATTCTTATTCGTTGCTTATCAAGAAATTAAAGATACAGAGCGAACAGGGGAACAGAAAGAAAGAAATTACAGTGATTGTTGAGGAAACTCTTTGAGTTTCTTCTTACTTGAGAGTCAACAGAAGTGAAAGTACAGACGTACAGATTTGAACTTTGAAAGAAATTATCAGTCCGTTTACTTTGTTTGATTTATTGACTGATAGTTTCACAAATGAGGTAACTCTTTCGCTCACTGTCGTTAATTGAATTGAAGATACCACTTTTGACTCTATTTTACTGTATACCTCCAAGTGAAGATTAATATTTTCCAACGGGTATTTTTCTCTTCTCGTCATCTTTATCAAATTCCTTGCCTTCGGAAATCATTTTTTTTTTTACATGTTTAGCTGATTGTCTTGACGATTCGTGTACAAGTAGAGGAACTTGTACTCCTGGATCAGCCGCCGTAACGTGCGCGTGTAATTCCGGCTATTCTGGCGATTCATGTGAAACAGGTAATCTATAACTTCTGAATAGATCATTCAAAAAACATACATACATTCACTTTTGATTTAAAGCAAAATCCAATCAAATTCTTATTCGTTGCTTATCAAGAAATTAAAGATACAGAGCGAACAGGGGAACAGAAAGAACGAAATTACAATGTTTGTTGAGGAAACTCCTTAAGTTTCTTCTTACTTGACAGTCAACAGAAGTGAAAGTACAGACATACAGATTTGAACTTTGAAAGAAATAATCAGTCCGTTTACTTTGTTTGATTTATTGACTAATAGTTTCACAAATGAGGTAACTCTTTTCCTCACTGTCGTTAATCGAATTGAAGATACCACTTTTGACTCTAATATACTGTATCCCTCCAAGTGAAGATTAATCTTTTCAAACGGGTATTTTTCTCTTCTCGTTATCTTTATCAAATTCATTGCCTTCGGAAATCATTTTTTTTTTTTACATGTTTAGCTGATTGTCTTGACGATTCGTGTACAAGTAGAGGAACTTGTACTCCTGGATCAGCCGCCGTAACGTGCGCGTGTAATTCCGGCTATTCTGGCGATTCATGTGAAACAGGTAATCTATAACTTCTGAATAGATCATACAAAAAACATACATACATTCACTTTTGATTTAAAGCAAAATCCAATCAAATTCTTATTCGTTGCTTATCAAGAAATTAAAGATACAGAGCGAACAGGGGAACAGAAAGAACGAAATTACAATGTTTGTTGAGGAAACTCCTTAAGTTTCTTCTTACTTGAGAGTCAACAGAAGTGAAAGTACAGACGTACAGATTTGAACTTTGAAAGAAATTATCAGTCCGTTTACTTTGTTTGATTTATTGACTGATAGTTTCACAAATGAGGTAACTCTTTCGCTCACTGTCGTTAATTGAATTGAAGATACCACTTTTGACTCTATTTTACTGTATTATTCCAAGTGAAGATTAATATTTTCCAACGGGTATTTTTCTCTTCTCTTTATCTTTATCAAATTCCTTGCCTTCGGAAATCATTTTTTTTTTTACATGTTTAGCTGATTGTCTTGACGATTCGTGTACAAGTAGAGGAACTTGTACTCCTGGATCAGCCGCCGTAACGTGCGCGTGTAATTCCGGCTATTCTGGCGATTCATGTGAAACAGGTAATCTATAACTTCTAAATAGATGATACAAAAAACATACATACATTCATATTTGATGTAAAGCAAAATCCAATGAAATTCTTATTCGTTGCTTATCAAGAAATTAAAGATACAGAGCGGACAGGGGAACAGAAAGAACGAAATTACAATGTTTGTTGAGGAAACTCCTTAAGTTTCTTCTTACTTGACAGTCAACAGAAGTGAAAGTACAGACATACAGATTTGAACTTTGAAAGAAATAATCAGTCCGTTTACTTTGTTTGATTTATTGACTAATAGTTTCACAAATGAGGTAACTCTTTTCCTCACTGTCGTTAATCGAATTGAAGATACCACTTTTGACTCTAATATACTGTATCCCTCCAAGTGAAGATTAATCTTTTCAAACGGGTATGTTTCTCTTCTCGTTATCTTCATCAAATTCATTGCCTTCGGAAATCATTTTTTTTTTTACATGTTTAGCTGATTGTCTTGACGATTCGTGTACGAGTACATGTAGAGGAACTTGTACTCCTGGATCAGCCGCCGTAACGTGCGCGTGTAATTCCGGCTATTCTGGCGATTCATGTGAAACAGGTAATCTATAACTTCTAAATAGATGATACAAAAAACATACATACATTCATATTTGATGTAAAGCAAAATCCAATGAAATTCTTATTCGTTGCTTATCAAGAAATTAAAGATACAGAGCGGACAGGGGAACAGAAAGAAAGAAATTACAGTGATTGTTGAGGAAACTCTTTGAGTTTCTTCTTACTTGAGAGTCAACAGAAGTGAAAGTACAGACGTACAGATTTGAACTTTGAAAGAAATTATCAGTCCGTTTACTTTGTTTGCTTTATTGACTGATAGTTTCACAAATGAGGTAACTTTTTCCCTCACCGTCATTAATCTAATTGAAGATATCACTTTTGACTCGAATTTTCTGTAATCCGTCAAGTAAAGATTAATTTATCAAAATGGGTGGTTTGGTTCTCGTCATCTTTATCAAATTCATTGCCTTTTGAAATCAATTTCACATGCTTAGGCGTTTGTACTGCCGATTCTTGTATGTTCATCACTTCATCAATGGACAGTTCATATATTTAGATAAATACTCAACTGTTTTGTTTGAATGCATTGTTTTAGAGCGTATCTACATTGACTACGGCTCTTACCCCGACCGGTCACTGAGTTACTATCAATACAGCTTTCTTGCTTGGTACACTATAAGACTTGATACGGGGTTTCCTATCAGCTCTGGCCGGCTATACACCTACATCACTGTAAGTTGTACATTCAGCATTCAATATCGATGTGTCCTGGTGAAGTGGCTCATTCACTTGTCTCTGAAATCTAAGGGTTGAGGGTTCGAATCCAATCCCGCCACTAGCATCCTTTGGCAAGAAATTTGCCACTTCCAACCCATGTGGCAATTGCTTGTTTTAATCATACTTGCAGGGCCCTCATAAATATTAGCATCGATGCTTATGAGGCTTCTATGCCTAAACAAAAATTGATATTTTTATCATCAACCTCTTTCATTATTATTTCAGCTATTCAATGCTGCTTCATTCTTTAATTTTGTATTCCTAAGTTTTTAGTAATTTTAATGTAAAGCACTACATTTACATAAGCATCTCATTCAAAAAGATAATTGCTAAGATAGGACATCTAGCCATTGGCTTCCTTCCAGTAAGGCCTCTGTAGGAAAGAGCTTTGAAAGCAAAGTGCGGTTAATCCCACAATTCAGTACTCATTTATACCTCAGTCACACCGACAACAGACCGAATAAAATATTGCATTGCCATTAATAGCCAAAAAACAATCGGTTCGGAGTCAATACAGGATCGGTTTAATGGTGTGACCAAGGTAATAACTGTTATCATCGAAAGAAAAGAACTCTTCTTTTTTTCTGAGCATTTCACCTCCTCTTTGTGTGCATCTTCTTTGATGTAGTTAATGAAGAGCATAGTCTTGATGTCACCCACTCTAATATAAGATATGTTTTCTCTTTGCCTTACTCATACAGTTCACATCGACAGGAATGATCCATTTTTCGACCTACTCTCCACGCAGTTATACCCTCTTCAAATACATCAACCCGTCTACGTATAGTTTCTTTGATCAGCTCTATGCAGACCCATCCATTGCGGTATTTGGTGCCCCAGCTGACCTCTACCGGGGTAACCCTAAGATCTACTACCAGGTGAGCATTCATATTCGTCTCACCTCCAAACCGACTGCTTACCGATCAATATCTGAGACAATAATGCCTCTGTCACACCGCCAAACTGACTGTAAACCAATCGTTTATTTCCCATTCGAGGTAATGTAATGTCTTGTTCGGACTATAGTCGACCTGGTGCTGGTCTCCTAGGTGTGACTAAGGTAGTAGCCAGTTCGTAAATACAATCTGCGCATAGGCAGATAAGGGGCATTTGAACCAACTTTTTAAAACCCATCGAGTCGGTTTGTACGCATTCTCTGATACACAGATGTAAATATTACACTCAAGAGGACAAACAAAATATATTCATGAAGCACATCCATCACTTTGGCAGTGATTATTCTAAAAATGCTCAAAGTGGGACGTCTCCGTGTGTAAAAGATCCAGGATTAATATGAGGTATTAATATTGTCAGTGGCGTACGCAGGATTTTTTCAAGGGGGGGGGGGGGGGGTAAAAGAACAATTTTTTTTTTTTTTTGGGGGGGGGGGGGGGTAAGAGGACACTTTCGGGGGGAGGGGGGGGGGGGTAAGAGGACACTTTTTTAGGGGGGAGGGGGGGGGGAGGTGTCTCGAAATTTGAAAAATTGACATTTTTCGTAGTGGGGGGGGGGGGGGGGGAGTAAGGTCACCTTTTTTAGCTTTTTTAAACTCTTATTCAGCCAGCCGCTGAATAAGCGGGGGAGGGGGGGGGGGGGGGAGGGGGGGGGGGGGGGGGGGTAAGAGGACACTTTTTTGTGGGGGGGGGGGGGGTAAGAGGACACTTTTTGGGGGGGGGGTAAGGTCTCCTTTTTTAGGTCAGCCATGGGCATAATTTTTTTTTTTTTTTTTTTTTTTTTTTAACACAGCAACAATTACACAACAACAATAGAAATAGTATTAATAAAAACAATAATAATAACAATATTCAGGTGCGTACGCAGGGGGGGGGGGGGGTTCTTAAGAATACACACATAAATAATACCGAAGGGGGGATTTAACCCCCAACCCCACCCCCTGCGTACGCGCCTGAATATTGTTATTATTGTTTTTATCAGGTGGGCTGTATCTAATACAGACCACCTTATATTTTTGTTAAAATCGCCTTTATTATCAGGTGGGCTGTATCTAATACAGACCACCTTATATTTTTGTTAAAATCGCCTTTATTATTTATTTATTATTTATTTATTTTTCTTATTTCGACCCACTTTTTTGTTAGCATGATAACTTTGTAATGGTTCATTCAAATGCTTTGAAATTTAGTACACATATGTATAGGCATATGGACATAACACAGTATGGTTTTCAACCTTGACCTTGACTGATGACGTCATCTAGGCGCCATTTTGTGAAATTTTCTGAAAATTACTCATGATCGTATCTTCATAACCAAAAGGTATTTCTCATTCATGTTTATCATGATCAAGGTCAATATCAATCTGTTCAATTTCATGTCCAAAAACGCGCTCGTGCGCGTACGTCCGCGCGTTAGTGCGCGCGCAAAAAAAATGAAATGCTCAAAATCGTCTCAAATTTATTTTGCATACGTTTCAGGTCATTTTAAGCATTTTATAAAAAATCGCGCATGCGCGCATGCGCGCGCGTTTTCGCGCGTAACACCATTACAAAACATAGAATCGCCATTTTTTTCTTTTATGATATTTATACCATGTTTATCTCTTTATGACCTTTAATAACAAGATGAGCGTCAATTCAAGATAAATGTCCGTGCGCGCGAGCTCTTTTCATACATAGCATATATGGGCAAAAACATGCCTATACAAAATCCATTATAGCTCTTTGAAATGAACCGTGACCTTCAATTTGTTTTCATATTTAGATAGAGTATGAGTCGGAGATATGATTCCACGTCTCATTTGCCCATTAAGTGTATCGTGACATCATCATAATGGCCTTGGAACTCAAAATACGTATTTGCATATTATGACGTCAGCATATTTATGGAAAATTGACTGTATCCCTGTAAATATTGATCAATTTTCTTCCAAATTTCTAAATGTTGTAGCTAAGATAATTCTCTACAAGTTAAATAACCATTTTTCATTTTGATGACGTCATCAGAGTAAAAATTACGATTAAAGGGCACATATCAGAAATTTCTTAAGTTGCGTGTCATGACTATAGAAGGTGAATTTCGTTCACGTAATGAATCTACATGATATTGTTTTTTTTTTTTAATTAAGCAGTATCTCGCTTATTTTGCTCTATTTTGTTTACAAATTTTAGTTGACCAGCCCACCTATACTTGTTCCAAACAAGTATTATATGTCTAGTTTATTATTTATTTTTCTTATTTCGACCCACTTTTTGTTAGCAAGATATCTTTGAAATTATTCAATCAAATGCTTTGAAATTTGGCACACATATGTATAGGCATATGGACAAAACACAGTAAGGTTTTCAACCTTGACCTTGACTGATGACGTCATCTAGGCGCCATTTTGTGAAATTTTCGGAAAAAAAAACTCATGATCATATCTTCATAACCAAAAGGTATTTCTCATTCATATTTATTATGATCAAGGTCAATATCAGTCCAGTCAATTTCAGGTCAAAAAACGCGCGCGTGCGCGTACGTCCGCGCGTCAATGCGCGCGCAAAATTTTTAAATGCTCAAAATCGTCTCAAATTTATTTTGCATACGTTTCAGGTCATTTTAAGCATTTTATAAAAAATCGCGCGTACGAGCATGCGCGCGCGTTTTCGCGCGTAACACCATTAAAAAACATAGAATCGCCATTTTTTTTTCTTTCATGATATTTCTCATATTTTTTCAAGGAATTTGATTCCATGTTTATCTCTTTATGACCATTATTAACAAGATGAGCGTAAATTCAAGATAAATGTCAGTGCGCGCGAGGTCTTTTAATACATAGCATATATGGGCAAAAACATGCCTATACAAAATCCGTTATAGCTCTTTGGAATGCACCGGGATCCTCGATTTGTTTTCATATTAAGATAGAGTATGAATCGGAAATATGATTCCATGTCTCATTTGGCCATTAAGTGTATCGTGACATCATCACAATGGCCTTGAACTCAAAATACGAATTTGCATATTATGACGTCAGCATATTTATGTAAAATTGATTGTATCTCTGTAAATATTGATCAATTTTCTTCAAAATTTCGATATGTTGAAGCTAAGACAATTCTCTACAAGCGCAGTAATAACCATTTTTCATTTTGATGACGTCCTCATAGTAAAAATTTTGATTAAAGGCCTCATGTCAAAAACTTCATAATTTGCGTGTTATGCCTATAGAAGGTGAATTTAGTTCACGTTATGAATCTACATGATATTGTCTTTTAAGAATTTGTAAGCAGTATGTCGCTTATTTTTGCTCTATTTTGTCTCAAATGTTAGTTGACCAGCCCACCTATACTTGTTCCAAACAAGTATTATATGTCTAGTCAGGTGGGCTGTATAACATACAGACCACCTTATAATTTCGTTAGAATTGCCTTTATTATTTATTTATTTATTTATTTATTTATTAAATATTTTTCTTATTTCTAACCACTTTTTGTTAGCAAGATAACGAGAAAATGGCTCGATAAAATGCCTTGAAATTTGGCACACATATGTATAGGCATATGTACAAAGCACACTAACGTTTTCAACATTGACCTTCAATGATGACGTCATCTAGGCGCCATTTTGTAAAATTTTACAAAAATCAACTCATGATCATATCTTAATAACCAAATGCTATTTCTCATTCATATTTATCATGATCAAGGTCAATATCCGTCCGGTCAACTTCAGGTCAAAAAACGCGCGCGTGCGCGTACGTCCGCGCGTTAATGCGCGCGCAAATTTTTGAATGCTCAAAATCATCTCAAAATCATTTTACATACGTTTTAGGCCATTCTAAGCATTTTTAAAAAATCGCCCACACACACGCGCATGTGCGCGGCGCGCGCGTTTTCGCGCGTAATACTATTACACAACATAGAATCGCCATTCTTTTTCTTTCATAATATTCCACATATTTTTACAAACAAATTGATACCATGCTTGTCTCTTTATGACTATTAATAATGGAATGATCGACCGTTTAACATAAATTTCCGTGCGCGCGAGCTCTTGTAATACATAGCATATATGGGCAAAAACATGCCTATACAAGATCCATTGTAGCCCTTTAGGATGCAAGGTGACACCAATTTTTGGGTCATATTTTGATACAGTATGAATTGGAGATATGATTTCATGTCTCATTTGACCCTCAATTAACTCATGACGTCATCATAATGGCCTCCAAACTCAAAATTTCAATTTGCATATTATGACGTCAGCATATTTACGGAAAATTGATTGTTTCTCTGTAAATATTGATCGATTGTCTTCAACATTCTCTACAAATAAAATTGGTCAAATTTTCATTTTGACAAAGGCATCAGGGAGTATTTTCGCGATTAAAAAAGGCATGTCAATTTTTCACATTTTGCGTGTATTCTCTGTGGGACATGAGTTTTTCTCAAAACTGGATTCTTTCGCGAGCAATATCTCTGTCGTTTAGCTTCGTTTACGCTGAACTTCAAGTATGTTGTAGCTGAGACAATAAGCTATCTCAAATGTACCCTTTATTTTGTCTCAAATTTTAGTTCGACCAGCCCACCTATACTTGTTCCAAACAAGTATTACAAATCTATTTTTCTTATTTCGACCCACTTTTTGTTAGCAAGATAACTTAACAAAAGCTTAATCAAATAACTTGAAATTTGGCACACATATGTATTAGCATATGGACAAAACACAGTAAGGTTTTCAACCTTGACCTTGACTGATGACGTCATCTAGGCGCCATTTTGTGAAATTTTCGGAAAAAAAACTCATGATCATATCTTCATAACCAAAAGGTATTTCTCATTCATATTTATTATGATCAAGGTCAATATCAGTCCAGTCAATTTCAGGTCAAAAAACGCGCGCGTGCGCGTACGTCCGCGCGTCAATGCGCGCGCAAA